GTGTCACAGAAAAGACTACTAATAAGTGTACGCACTCATATATTCATTAATTATTTCTTATTTACACCTATAAACATAATAGTATATTATGTATCAAGTTAGATAAACGCCATTTTATACACGAATTTAGTTTAGACACGAGCGAGCTTGCGAGCAAGTGCTTAAATTATTGAGTATATAGAAAAGTTTATAAACGAGGTGCATACTATGTCACCGTCAAATGTTACATTTTTATATTTTATAAACACAGATTGTAAAGGTTATAAATCGAAATGTATTCCTTGAAAATGGATTAACAACAGTTTTTCACACTGAAAGTAAAGAATAGTATATTATGTATCAAGTTTGATAAACGCCATTTTATACACTAATTTAATTTAGGCACGAGCGAGCGAGTGCTTAAGTTAATGAGTGTATAGAAAAGTTTATAAACGAGGTGCATACTATCCTTTTTACGACAAATACTTATTATTATCTTAAAATGATTTAAATAAAAAAATTGTATAGAGCGCCATCTATGAAACAAGAGGGGAAACTGTCAAATTTCACATTTTTAAATTTTATAAACACAATTATAAAGGTTATAAATCGAAATGTATCTTGAAAATTGACAGTTTTTCACAGTGAAAGTAAAGGAAATAGTTTATGAGGACTTTACAGTGGAGTCCGTGCCCAAATTTAAGTTATAGTTTACTGCCGGCGAAATTAAAAGGTCAGTACAATGTTCATATAAACTTTTAAAATATTGGCGTTGAGAAACTATTTAATATTTTTGTATTTTTGTATTGAGATAATAAAATAATTTTCACATTTAGTATTATTTTACAAGAAAGGCACTTTATTTTAAGGATTGTATGACATTTGACAACTGTCAACTAACTTAAAACTAACTTCAGCCGTGACTAAAAACCTGTTGCTAACTTCAGCCCGTGACTAAAGCGCCGTAAAGCCACAACTTGTCAATGTGTATTTAAAAGGTCACTTAATGTCATGGAAACATGTACGATAAAGGGCGTTTTAAAGGTGGGAGTAGAAAAAATGTTTAATGAGCACTTTACAGTGAAGTCCGAGCCCAAATTTAAGTTATAGTTAACTACCGGCGAAATTAAAAGGTAAGTGCAATGTTCATATAAACTTTTCAAATATTGGCGTTGAGAAACTATTTAATACCTTTTTACCTATTTTTGTATTGAGATAATAAAATAATTCTCACATTCAGTATTATTTTACAAGAAAGGCACTTTATTTTAACGATTGTATGACATTTGATAACTGTCAACTAAATTAATACTAACTTCAGTCTGTGACTAAAAACCTGTTGCCAACTTCAGCCCGTGACTAAACCGTCATAAAGCCACAACTTATCAATGTGTATTTAAAAGGTCACTTAGTGTCACGGATTGGACATTTTAAATTAAGGGACATAAAATGCTTGTCACCAAAATGTTTTAGGTTCTTTTTTACATACACTTCTACAAATTAAATTAAAAATATTATACTTATGACTGCAGAAACAATATTTTTCCAGTAGTCAGTGAAGTTCATAAATCTTTGCTGGGGACAGTCCCGGATTGGACATTTACTATATTTCAAGGTAATTTTAATACATTTTCAATGCCTTATTGGGAGATTTTGTATATAATTTAAAGAGCCTAAGGATTGTTTTATCTTCACATTTCATTTTAGTTACGAAAATATGAAGTTCTAACCTCAGGACAGCAAGTTAAAAACTTTTTGAAATATACCCTATATCCTCTCTTCTTTTCACATTAGCAGAAATGAGAATGGAGATCCCGAGAAAAAGGATGTCACCTAATAAATTGTCATCCTTTAGGTATGATGGTACACGCCAAAACAAGAAAGTCTATTATTTTTGAATTAGAGCTACTGTTTTTTAATAAAAAAAATATAGAATTTTTCGAAAAGGATGACAACTTATTATACACCCTGTATAATCATGGTTTCTTAATCAAGACACAGCGAAAAAAACGGCCACATTTAGATTTTAGATTTTAAATTTACCTCACTTTGGCTTATCATCAACTAAGCTTGTCATCATTTAGCTTATCGTCATTTTACCTTGCTATTTTAGTTTGTCACCATTTCAGCTTGTTATCATTTAAGCTTGTCCACTTCAAACGCGTTCTCTTTAAATTTTAATTGGCTTGCCACTTTATCAAAGGCACTTAATTATAACGTGTAAGAATTAAATGGCTTTGCATAGGCAATATACTAAGAAATAGCGCGTCCCACGGACGTGCCAAAGAAAATAGCCCCTGGGATGAAAAGGCATTAGTAAATGAACGAAACAACACTAGACAAATGATTCACCGTGCGTCTTTGAATCGCGCTTGCATGAACATGCGAACAATTAAAATAATGAACCACCTTATACAGGGTGTTATGTAATTAATGTTATATATTAAAATACTGAATACCTTTTGATATAAGGAATAAAGGAAAAATATTTAAAAAAACATTTTTCCAAAGATAAAGAAAAAATATGCATTAGAAGTTTTTTATATTTTTTGTGATACGCCACTGGTTACACACTTGTCACAGTTCGGCTCCAGCTCTCGAGAAGACGAGTCGCGTCACGCGGGCGAGCTCTTGAAACGTAAAAGTTTAAAGATGAAACCAACAATAATTATAAAAAAAGGGGTGCGAACTGATAAGTGAAACAAACATTTTCATGGAGTGGGGTAATATGAATGACTTGGGTGCCACCTGTCATTGGAGGCTTTTCACTGGACGGACGGGGGAGGTCGGAGAAGAGGGGAGGTGGCCATCCGCAAAGGAAAAAATCTGATAAGTTTTACTTTAAGAGTATGCATGACCTGATACAAATCTGCAATATAAATACGGCAAGCATTTTCCGTTATTTGTCACCATTAACATTGCCCGTATTCATTTCATTAAACATAACATTTATTTTACTTGAAAATGTTAAAATAACTTTAAAATATGATTATGTTAAGAACTTTAAACAATTGTTTTGTTTTTAATTACTATCATTGCAAAATTGTATTAAAAAGTGTTAAAAATTCTTACACGGGCAATGTTAATGGTGTTAGGTATCGTTAAAGTGTTTATTGGGATATCTTTAAAACCCATGAAGGGCACGCCGCGGGGCAATAAGTCTGTCAACAGCAAATGCGTAAGGCGGTCCCAATCGAGACCGAAATAAACACTGGACTGACAGAGTAAACTAACATGAACACATAATTCTAACACATTAAAAAAAAGGGCCTAATAGCCAAACTCGAGATTTGTAAACATTAGACAACAGAATAATCGCGCTTGTGATTTGTTTGACTAGTGAATAAATGCAAGCTTTGGAATTTGATAAACAAAGACGGAACTCTACCACAAAATGTGCTTGGGACAAAAATATTAAAAACAACTGACACACTTTACCAAGGGCAGGAACTATCTGACCAGAACACGGACAATGACAACAACGAACAAGACAAAGACCTTGACTAGGAAACTAGTGCAGCGAAATAACAACTCCCCAACTCCAAATAGTAATCCCAAATGTTTGGAGTAATACTAATCGACTGGTCTAGGGGGATTCCGCGTCGTACTTAGTTTTAAGTCGGCGTAATTGTCCCCCAAAAACCAACTCCCTCCCGTCCCTCATCCATACCCTACCGAGCGTATAGCATAGGCTCGGCGAACCCGGGAATGGCTATTATAACTATTCGCCTCTCGCTCTCGAGCCCCAAATAGGGGACAGTACGGAACGCAATGGACATTCGCACCCAGCAAACACGGGTGAAGCCGTGCAGTTGCTGGGGAAGAACAAAAATCGGCGTAAGTAAACATAGGCCTGTACGGGGTTCGAGAGTCAAGAGGAAATGGGGCTGGTTATACGTCTCTTATACTCATACTCATACTCATACGCCACTGGTTACACACTTGTTTATCTCTGCACACCTGTATTTTGTGAGTACATAGATACCAACCAACAAAGTAGCTATGCGTTGCCAGATGTAAAAAATTGTTACTAAAAATTTTTCTTGCAAAAAATAAATAAAAACTCAATAAATACAAAAGTTTTATGCCCTTAAAGCTCTAATACCCTTCTGTATTTATTTACTGATCCAGCTATTAGCTTAAGCAATGATTAGAAAATTTAGTACCTTTGAAATTTGAAATCCATACCCACAAAATTAATTTTTTCATCAGTTTTTTTCTCTGTTTACTCAAATGAAATTGGGACCAGTTCACAGGTTAAACTTTAAACATTTAATTTGTGTAAATAAATCCAAAAGCACTTCCCTTAGTTAAGATATTTACAATTTGAAAACATAACCTAAAATTTAAAAGAAATGCACTAGATTCTGTCATAAAAGTTGGCAGATTTTGTTTGAATTTACCTTCAGTACAAAAATGAAATAACCAACAATTAATAAAAACGCCAAATTGACAATTTGCATTGTTAATTTTGTCATTTTTGTAATTAAGCTAAATTTAAACAATGCTTGGCAACTTTTTTGAAAGATTTTGGAAACATTTGTTACCAACCATAACATAATAAATCCACCAGACTAGTCTAAAGTTCCTAGTCGATCAGTGGCGTACTTTTTGGTAGGATAAAGGTTATTATAAATTATTTTTAGACTTTGGAATTTAGAAAAAAAAAGTTACAGGTGCTTCTTTATGGACCCTAAGGAACAACCCATTTTAATATATAACATTAATTATATAACACCCTGTATACGAGGAAAAGTCCGGAAATCCCTAAATTAAGTTCTTACGTGCAGACGATTTTTGTACATGCCCTTGTATATTTATGATGGATAGTCTACCGTTGAAAAATATTACTGTTTATGCTGTAGGAAACGGGAAATTAAAGATATGCATAATTATTCTTAGTGCTCCGAAAATATCTTGGAGTGTCTGTATTAATTTTCAAGTATTAATCTTGCATATTAACTATAAATAGTCCGAAATATCAAAAACAGATTCACTTGAAACATATTTATTTTATATATTTACATTTCATCTTCTTGTCCTAAATTATTCCAGGCTTGAATATCTCCTGATGCGAACGCTACAAAAACTAAAAATTGCAAAAAATGCAAAACACTGGCAACCCAAAATACAATCCTCCAGGATTTTATGCTATAATCATCCGTTATTAGATATCCAACCAATATAGGTACCTCCAATGCACAAAAGGCAGCTACACTTTTGGAAACGTTCAATAACGTTCCACCGAAAAGTGGGGCTATATCGAAATGGTTTGATATAAAGCCAGAATACATCGCCGCCATCGCTGCCATTGCTATGCTGATCAAAGCCATGTTAATATACCATTTTTTGCAATCTATAAAGCCCAAAGCCAAGAAGCAACACATTGGTATGAGGCTTGCTATGGACGTGGCTACTTTACGCGCAGTGACAACTTTAATTTTCTGCTTCGATATGCATTTTTGTATGGCATTATTAAAGATAATACCAAAAATAAACATACAAATAAAAGGTATCGACGTTAAAAAAGCATTGTTGACGATGTGAAAACCTAGATGGTAGTTAATGTAAGTTGGCAAGTCTAGTTGCAACAAAGTCCAACTCCATTCAGAGAAAATTTGAGCGAACAAAATCGCCAAGTATGGCGGTGAAGACAGAACAATTTTCCACGGCGTTTTGCGATACTCGTGGACTTCTCTCATGGTTAATTGTCTGGACCGTATGGTGGGCACTGTCAAAGAAAGATACTCCCGCTCCAACTCCGATATAAACCTAGCTTTTACCGGCGAATCAGCTGCAAATATAAGCCATAATATCAGCCAGATTACAGCCAAAGTACCTTCAATGTAGAACACATACTCCCAGGTTAAGTAATATATAATCCCCCCTGATAACCATGTGAACAAAACTCCCCCCACTAGAGTTCCAGACTGGACGATGTTCATCAGGACGAAAAGTTCATCACTTGGTGCCCAGTTCAGTATCAAAACATGTGCAATAGGAAAAACAACGCCTCCTCCTATACCTGATAAGATCCTCAGCAATATTAAACCCACCAATGAGTTTTTTGCCACTAGAGGAGTCATGTAAACACAGAATATATTGGTGAGGACAGCGAAGCTAAAAACCCACTTGGGGCTCCTTCTTTGTATCCATCTTTCGCCAGGGTATTGTATCGCCAAAAACCCTACCAAATTGGCGGATAATATGATCCCTTGTATCAACGTGGACCACTTGAAAGGGCCATCGTCTTCCTCACATGCGTATTTTGGCGAAACACAAGCAGAGCAGTTCATGTTTTTATCTTGGATTATTCCGGTGTGGTTCACCATGTTGATTAGAACAAGGTGGAAATTCACTTTAAGGCCATATATTATGCTGACTCCGAATGAGGTTAGGATTGCGATTAGAACGCGTACCGCCACAATGGCTAAAATTTGAAAATTTAGATTTGTTCATTGGTTTATTCGGCTTTGCTTACCTGTTATTTTTGTTGTTCTAAAGAGATTAGTGTCGGGATGTGACACAAAAATAACCTTTGTTGTTTTGTGACTTTGACAAAGAATCTTGCCAACCTTATTAACATGATGAAGTTAGGCCCCAAATGTTTTTTAATTAATTAATCAAACTTTTATCTCTAAAGGAGGCAATATTTGGACCAGTGACGGCTCGTGGGTGTATAAAAGGGTAAGGCTACATGATGTTAATTTTGTAGATAACAAACCAATATAGGTACCTTCAAAGCACAAAAGGCAGCTACACTTTTGGAAACGTTCAATAACGTTCCACCGAAAAGTGGGGCTATATCGAAATGGTTTGATATAAAGCCAGAATACATCGCCGCCATCGCTGCCATCGCTATGCTGATCAAAGCCATGTTAATATACCATTTTTTGCAATCTATAAAGCCCAAAGCCAAGAAGCAACACATTGGTATGAGGCTTGCTATGGACGTGGCTACTTTACGCGCAGTGACAACTTTAATTTTCTGCTTCGATATGCATTTTTGTATGGCATTATTAAAGATAATACCAAAAATAAACATACAAATAAAAGGTATCGACGTTAAAAAAGCATTGTTGACGATGTGAAAACCTAGATGGTAGTTAATGTATGTTGGTAAGTCTAGTTGCAACAAAGTCCAACTCCATTCAGAGAAAATTTGAGCAAACAAAATCGCCAAGTATGGCGGTGAAGACAGAACAATTTTCCACGGCGTTTTGCGATACTCGTGGACTTCTCTCATGGTTAATTGTCTGGACCGTATGGTGGGCACTGTTAAAGAAAGATACTCCCGCTCCAACTCCGATATAAACCTAGCTTTTACCGGCGAATCAGCTGCAAATATAAGCCATAATATCAGCCAGATTACAGCTAAAGTACCTTCAATGTAGAACACATACTCCCAGGTTAAGTAATATATAATCCCCCCTGATAACCATGTGAACAAAACTCCCCCCACTAGAGTTCCAGACTGGACGATGTTCATCAGGACGAAAAGTTCATCACTTGGTGCCCAGTTCAGTATCAAAACATGTGCAATAGGAAAAACAACGCCTCCTCCTATACCTGATAAGATCCTCAGCAGTATTAAACCCACCAATGAGTTTTTTGCCACCAGAGGAGTCATGTAAACACAGAATATATTGGTGAGGACAGCGAAGCTAAAAACCCACTTGGGGCTCCTGCGTTGTATCCATCTTTCGCCAGGGTATTGTATCGCCAAAAACCCCACCAAATTGGCGGATAATATGATCCCTTGTATCAACGTGGACCACTTGAAAGGGCCATCGTCTTCCTCACATGCATATTTTGGCGAAACACAAGCAGAGCAGTTCATGTTTTTATCTTGGATTATTCCAGTGTGGTTCACCATGTTGATTAGAACAAGGTGGAAATTCACTTTGAGGCCATATATTATGCTGACTCCGAATGAGGTTAGGATTGCAATTAGAACGCGTACCGCCACAATGGCTAAAATTTGAAAATTTGGATTTGTTCATTGGTTTATTCGGCTTTGCTTACCTGTTATTTTTGTTGTTCTAAAGAGATTAGTGTCGGGATGTGACACAAAAATAACCTTTGTTGTTTTTTGACTTTGACAAAGAATCTTGCCAACCTTATTAACATGATGAAGTTAGGCCCCAAATGTTTTTTAATTAATAAATACATACTTTTATCTCCAAAGGGTGCAATATTTGCAATATTGTTTAAAATGGCCGATACCCCTACTAAACCACTATAAATAAAAAAATAAAAATAAATAAAATATCAGAGCAATCAGAATACCCACCCCCTAAACTCCAATTGTTATAACCTATATATAGGTTTCGTATCAGGGTCATTTTCAAGAAATACCCGCTTTCAGAAAAATGTGTTTAGCTAGCTTTATATGTCTCCACTGTGTAACCAATTTGAAATCCAAAATTTATTTCAATAAAAAAAGTTGTTATAAAAATAATTTGAAATAAAATGTACTTAGTTCACACACTTTTGACTCCAATTTTATTTTTTATTAAAAATTGTATGCCTTTTTTAAATATTTATGTTAGTTAAGTTACTTTTTAAAAGACACCATTCCTATTCTTTGTTAAAAAAACAATACATTAATATTTTCTTTAAGTCACTGTATTCGTGAGTTAAACTCTAATTTATAAACAGGTATTACCAAGTGATAGTAAAATCATTTTAAGGATTTTTTTTTAACAAAAACTATAAAAAGTAATGAAATAGACATTGGTATCACAACGGACTGGGGTACACAAAGGACTTAATCAGATAACGTAAAAAAGAAACTATATAGGGTGGTACGATTTTAGAGTAATGCATAAACAAAATCCCTTGTAGTGGTGCTCACTTGCAGAATAACAACTTAGATTTTTAAATTATAGACACCCTTTTTCTTTGACTATAAGCTGGTGTCTTTTAGTACTTGTATATTGCGTGGAATTTTCCCTTGGATGTAATCTATATCATGAGTTGTAATCACAAATAATTTTAAATTGGTTTATCATAAACTACTTTTGATAAAAGCGACGGTAAATATCCACTTTGTTGTCGAAAAATTCTATTGCGTTACCCTAAATTCCATTGCGTTACCATAACGTAACGTAATGGACTCGGTAACGCAGTGGTTTTGTGAAACCATATTTAAAAAATAATAATAAAACATTACAGTCATTAATTACTCTCAATGAACTTTAGTGCCCTAAAATAAACATAAACATGAAAAATAGTATTTTTTCTTAACTTATTTTTATTATTTTTTTGAGTAACTTGGCGGACAAACAATTATTACATTCGCGTTACCCGAACCTGTTTCAACCGATATCTTCTTCCTAATGGAATTAATAAATTCAGCTGGGTAATCTGTACGTCCGAACATCATTTGTTAATCACAAGTTGCCATATATATGTTTTTTTAAATATTCTATCGGTAACGCGACGGACGTGACGCAACGGAAAAAATGTCTGGAACATGAGTCAAATTTAAAAAAAGTAGATTAAAATTAATTAATTTATATATAAATTGTTTACTTTATTAACTAAGGATGTAATGGATTGCTATAAAGCAACACAAAGTTCTGGTTATTCAATATTAAAAAAAAACATGCATGTAAGTTTTATAAAACGCTAATGGGACATGCGAAAATGTGTGTTTCACAAGTTTCAAAATTAAAAAAAATTATTCTGAAATAACTAAACAAACATTTTCTAAAAGAGTTTACTAAGGGCTTGTTAGGCTTTCACTTGGTTTTTAAATCAATAAGATCCGATAATTTTTAACAAAGTTATTGGAATTCAAACTTACGCTCAGCGGAAGGCGGGTGTTTTTTGAAAACAACCCAGGTAAATAAATAGTTTACGCTCTTTGCTGGTAAGTAGGAGCTTCACAGGCTATAAAAGGCCTACCCTGACGAGCCGCCACTGATTTGAACATGGGTTTGTTGATTACAATAACATCATCTGTTGATAAAGTCCTGCTACTATATCAGGGTTTTATATCACAGTCTAGAAAAATATATCATTTAAGACCCCTATCGCCATCTAGCGTCAAATAGCTAAACTATTCAGTTTTCAATATTTTATTCTACAAGGAAGCTAAGTTAAATAAAATAGAAATGTTCTTTTTCGTTTGAAAGGAATCTTTTTAAATGTGAGACATGTTTTACGAGTAGTATATCTTCTGGTTTATAGATGTCTCTACTAAGTAGTTTCTTTATTTATTTAGGATTATTGTAATTTAAAAGTCAAATTTGTGTTTCTAATAAACTATAATAGTTTGTACATTCTTGAACTAAATGCATTTTTCAACTTTTCATGCAAAAAAACATAAAACTTTTTTTCTTAATAGTTTTTGCATGTAAATAGTAAATCAATACCAAACCTTATCAAAAAATCTAATAAAAAAACCATAAAAATTTAAATTTATTGTTTTATAAATAAAAGCGCTTGCAACTTTGCATGCAATTACGATATTCCAGGTCGCTAATGCCGTTTAAATTATATAATACCTGCCATAATCAGACCAAAACATTGAATATAAAGAGGAAAATTGTATAGTGTATGCAAAATAGATTAACTACGACTGATAATGGTGTTTTATATAACGCGCTACATTGTAAGGGTGGCAATGAAAAATTAATGCAACTTTAATAATTTATTGGCATAAAATGGGGTTTTATAATTTTACAACTACCTGTATGTAATCAATTCACGTTCGGTAGCCCAACTGGGAGTTTTTTATTAGTTTGGCTACAATGACAATTCACGCGTTGTTTATTTTTAATTTTTTTTTTAATTTCATAAATGGGTCGTTTTCAAAAAACACCCGCCTTCCGCTGTCCGTAAGTTTGAATTCCAATAACTTTGTTAAAAAGTATCGGATCTTATTGATTTAAAAACCAACACTTAAGTGAAAGCCTAACAAGCCCTTAGTAAACTCTTTCAGAAAATGTTTGTTTAGTTATTTCAGAATATTTTTTTTTAATTTTGAAACTTGTGAAACACACATTTTCGCATGTCCCTTTAGCGTTTTATAAAACTTACATACATGTTTTTTTTTTAATATTGAATAACCAGAACTTTGTGTTGCTTTATAGCAATCCATAACATCCTTAGTTAATACAGTAAACAATTTATATATAAATTAATTAATTTTAATCTACTTTTTTTAAATTTGACTCATGTCCCAGACATTTTTTCCGTTGCGTTACGTCCATCGCGTTACCGATAGAATATTTAAAAAAACATATATATGGCAACTTTTTTGGCACTCACGTGATCAACAAATGATGTTCGGACGTACACTTTACCCAGCTGAATTTATTTATTCAATCAGGAAGATATCGGTTGAAACAGGTGCGGGTAACGCGAATGTAATAATTGTTTGTCCGCTAAGTTACTCAAAAAAATAATAAAAATAAGGTTTTTCATGTTTATGTTTATTTTAGGGAACTAAAGCTCATTGAGAGTAATTAATGACTGTAATGTCTTATTATTATTTTTTAAATATGGTTTCACAAAACTTTGTCCACTGCGTTACCAAGTCCATTACATTACCTTATGGTAACGCAATGGAATTTAGGGTAACGCAATAGAATTTTTCGACAACAAAGTGGATATTTACCATCGCTTTTATTAAAAGTAGTTTATGAAAAACCAATTTAAAATTATTTGTGATTACAACTCATGATATAGATTACATCCAAAGGAAAATTCCACGCAATATACAAGTACTAAAAGGGACGAAAGACCTTTACCAGCTTATAGTCAAATCTAAGTTGTTATTCTGCAAGTGAGCACCACTATAGTGTATACAAGGGATTTTGTTTATGCATTACTCTAAAGACGTACCACCCTATATAGTTTCTTTTTTACGTTATCTGATTAAGTCCTTTGTGTGCCCCAGTCCTTTGTGATACCAATGTCTATTTCGTTACTTTTTTTAGTTTTTGTTAAAAAAATCCTTAAAATGATTTTACTATCACTTGATAATACCTGTTTATAAATTAGAGTTTAACTCACTAATACAGTGACTAAAAGAAAATATTAATGGTATTGTTTTTATAACAAAGAATCGGAATGGTGTCTTTTAAAAAGTAACTTAACTAACATAAATATTTAGAAAAGGCATACAATTTTTATTAAAAAATAAGTCAAAAAAATAAACTTTTTGTTTTTCCCTGTATACTGATCAATTTTTCAATTTTCTTTATACGTAGAAAAAAAGTATTTTTTAGTAGGTACCTACATAACCACACTTTTAAATTTTTTGGGACACTTAAAATAAAAAAGTTAAAGGGGGGCGACATTATAGGGGATCACCCTGTACCTAACAACCTAAAAAATTTACACTGACAGATTACGTGGTAACCATGGAGTCCGTCAACTTACCTGTCACAGGTTTCTTGATAAAAAATAATATAGAAAATTTTAGAAATTGTTAAATATCACTAAATTATTAAATTTAGGTTTAGGGAATAGTTACGTTAATGGAAATTTTTTTAAATTTTCTATTTCATTATGTAAAAACATACAGGGTATTACGGCAACGATACGCCAGGATACTGAGAATTAGGTACTTTGACAGGTATTCTTGACAAAACAAATTTTCAGATCTAAATAATTTTAAGTGCACAAATAACACGCACACAAATTAATAAAAAAATATTAAATAAGATTTTTAAAAGTATTTTTCTGTTCGTTCTTCCATTTTTGTTGCAAAATTTTCTGCTAGATAAGTTTAATTGTGCATGACGCGAATGGCGGAAGAATGACGACCGGAGACACATGTTATAAGTTGTTAGGTTAGAATGTCTTAGATGTTTTTGCAACCGACCAGATCTCGCCTCTTTGCTCAAGGATTTATCAAAT